AATGCCGAGGGAGGCCGGGTGCGGTGGCTCATGCGTGTAATCCTAGCAATTTGGGAGGCCGAGGTGGGCGGATCATGAGGTCAGGAGAACAAGATCACCCTGGCTAACATGGTGAAACCCCATCTCTACTAAAAATACAAAAATTTAGCCAGGCATGGTGGCGGGCGCCTGTAGTCCCAGCTACTCGGGAGGTTGAGGCAGGAGAATGGCGTGAACCCGGGAGGCGGAGCTTGCAGTGAGCCGAGATGGCACCACTGCACTCCAGCCTGGGTGACAGAGCGAGACTCTGTCTCAAAAATAAACAAATAAAAAATAAATAAATAAATAAATAAATACTGAGGGAACTCAGAGACCAGCGCTGGTGCAGGTCTTTACTTGCTCAGCACTGGTCCCCTGGGACCACTTTTCTTCCTCTACACTTTGTCTCTGTATCTCATTTCTTTTCTCCGCCTCTCATCTCCACCTTGCGAGAAATACCCACAGGTGTGGAGGGGCAGGCCCCCCTTCAACCTGTGATTATTTTAATATCTGATAGGACAAGTCCCCTTATTATTGTTCGTTTACGTTTTTTCTGCTGGCTACTCTTACATGTTTAGTCTTCTAGATGAATTTAGGCTCATTTTGTCCGATTCCAAAAAGACATTGCCCAAGAATTTTCATCTGCATAACCTTGAAGTTATAGCTCAATCTAGGGAAACTTGACATCATAGCAATATGGAGACACCGTAGTCAAGAATAAGTTGACTGTGTGAGTATTTTTATGGCCTTCATTAGAGTTTTACGGTTGTTCTCATCCACGTCTTGCACATTTCTTCAGTTCATTCTTGAGTGTTTTATGGTTGATTGCTATTGTGCATTCCCAGATTCTTACTGGAGATTGAGTGTGGGGTCTTGTCGTAGGCACCTGTGGTGTCCCATGTTGCACCCCCTTGACCTGCTGATTTCAGCCACAACAGAAGTAGACAGTTCCATGAGAACTCAACCAGGTCCTTGCACTGAAAACAACCCCCCTCAAACATGAGCCACACTTTCTGCCCCGCTGCTTTCTCTAGCACCAATAGAAGCTTGCTCAGCCAACACGAGTACAGCTCAGACCTGCTGGGGAGTTCATGCCCATGGGGAATGGAAGCTGGTGGGTAAATCCTCCAGCCACCCCTCCTTCAGATCAACCATTCTGTATGCTTGGAGATGCTGGTGAGCCCCATCACCCAAAATGTGCAGCAGCCTTGATAATGCACCTCTATTGGGCTTGCCTCCTTCCCCACCGCACTCCCTCCTCTTTTTCACTCCTGCTTTCTGGGATCAGCTCCCAAGAAAACTATCTCCCTCAAGTCCTTCTCTCAGGCTCTGCTTTTGGGAGACACCCGAACTCAGGCAGACCTCCTATGGGATTCTGGCTCATAGTGAGGCAATTGAGTTTTATAGGAGAATCACTCAAACCAGTTGGTTTCCCCACTGCCAAGAACTATCACACCCACTCTACACAGCTGTTGAGCAGAGCTGGGACCAGTCTGGCCTGGAGTAGACACACACACACACACACACACACTTCTCCTTGCCTCCGGTTCACTCGCCATTCTTCGCCCTGCCTCAGCTCGAAGTAGCCCTGGGGATTACACGGTGCCCACTCTTACAACTTGGCTAACTTTTTTTTGTCATTTTTAGTAGAAACGGAGTTCAATGCCATGTTTGGCCAGGCTGGTCTTGGAACTCCTGACCTCAGACGATGCGCCCACGGTCGGCTCCAAAGTGCTGGAATTACACACAGGTGCCGAACACCGGGGGCCCCCAGCCCGGAATTCCTCCTTCTTTAGTTGGTCTCAAGTTAGCCGTGGTGCTTGGGGTATGCAAGGGGAGGGAGTCTGAATGTGGGTGAAGGCAGGTAGGAGGAGGACACTCGCAGTCATGCGTGAAAGGAGTTACAAGCTTCTCAGAGGTCTTAAGAGAGGGTCCCCCCACACTACCTGAGTGGCTGAAAGTGCAGGGTTACGCGGACCC